ATGACTCCAATAATAAAATCTATCTGAAGATGAACCAGCTGAAAGCTGAGGACACAGCTGTGTATTACTGCGCTCGACGGGCACAGTGACACAGGGAAGCAGGAGGTTCAGACAAAAGCTTCCTCCCCCTGCCACTTCCTCTGCAGACCTACTGCTCAACTTGTTAGTGTCAATATTATTGGCAAAAATTCTTCAAAATAATATGAATCAAAGAAAAGTATTAAAAATATCATGGTGAACAGAATTGTTTTCCCTATTACATTATTAATTGTGGAATAATAAGTGATAGTGTAATTATGCATATGTTACAATGTATGTAATTCACCATACAAAAGCTCTATTACAGTGACATAATGTTATTTAGTTAACCAATAACAGGAGCATAAACCTTCATTAGTTAGTAAAACCTTCAGACTGAGCTGATCCAGGAGGTTTGACTGATTGTTTTTAGAACCATGTTTAAGTTATTTGTTTGAATTACTGCTGCAGTGACCTCAGACTGCAAAAACATAAAAATAGTTATGTCCCAACAAACATGAACTTTCAACAAAACAAATAGAAAAAATTCTAGAATTGCAAATTTAATTTATATATACAAGAAAAAAAAAGACTGGGTTGTTACACTTATTTGTAGGTAAATTTAAAAGCAATTTATTAGTGAATTTGTGTCCAAATACACATGATATGGAATATGCCTCACTTCACACAGACATGTTTATTTTTGTTATTTAACTGGGTTTGCCAGGCTGCTGTGAGATGCTAAAAAGACCAACAGCCTGAACTACAAATTATAAATGAAGTGTTTCTGATCATCATTATATTACATGTGTGTTTATTATGACCTTGAACTTGCATGACCAGAGAGTTGTTTGTGTCAAACAAATGAAAGATAAGCTGATATAGAGAAATGAAAATGTTTATGAAGTTATGTGGAGCCAGAATGTCTTTGAAGATGAACAAATGGTTTCAATATGTTGCTCTTTGTCAGTAAAATTATCTTGCTCTGCTGGCAACTGATCAAACATCAATGAAATCACTTTTTTTTGTTTAAAAATGTTTATTTAATTACCATGGGGATGTTGAAGTCAGCTTTTATATTGTATGTAAATTTTTTGTTGTCATTGTTCTTGTAAAAAAAAAAAAAAAAAAAAAAACATATTTTGTTTTTCAGGATTGATTGATTTGTAAAAGTAATAAAGACTAAAACATCAAAGGAGTGAGTAATTCTTACTTTATATTTCAGAAGATTAAGAAGCCATTTTAGAAAAAATGTTAAACTATTAAGTTTTAGTTCCTCCCTGTTAGGAGGAGTTAATGCAAAACTTCAGTAGCTTCCAGCTTTATTAATGTGACAATGTTTAAGTTGTCAACGATCAAGAAACACATTTGAACATGATGGACTACAGATCAGGACTGATCCTTCTAATGATTTGCTTTATGGGTGAGGAAAGGTTTAAGGAACATTTAGTAGATTTTTCTGCATCTTTCCTCTGAGACCAACTCAACTTTCTGACGGTCTTACTCACAGGTGTTGATGGTCAGACTCTGACTGAATCTGATTCAGTGGTTAATAAACCAGGAGAATCCCACAAGCTGACATGTACAGCTTCAGGATTCACATTTAGCAGCTATGAGATGAACTGGATCAGACAGGCTCCTGGGAAAGGACTGGAGTGGCTTGCTTATATCAGTCAAAGTGGTGGCTACACAGGCTACTCTCAATCAGTTCGAGGCCGGTTCACCATCTCTAGAGACAACAACAAACAGCAGCTGTATCTGCAGATGAACAGCCTGAAGACTGAAGATTCTGCTGTTTATTTCTGCGCTCGAGAGACACAGTGACTGAAGTTGGTTCATCAGCTGTACAAAAACCTCAAATGCCTTCAAAGTTATCTGAACGGAGCTTGTCAATATTTTCCTGTGTAAGACTGTAAATGTGATTCTGTCTCAGAAACAGTGAACAATCTGACTCTGAGACAAATAGAAGAATAAGCATAATAAGCATCATGTTTGATCATACCTGGCTGTTCAGCCATCAGCAATGTAACTAATAAAGTCAAGAAAAATCACTTTATTTATCTATATTGTATGTGTGGTAGTCTTTATTTTCATATGTGTCTTACATCCTTTTACAGGTGCACAGCCAACATAGGCTTACAAGACACAATAAAACAGACAGAAATAAATATTCTTCAAAACAAAAAGCATCCTGTTTCTAAATTGCCAGGCCTTCAAAATAAACTGTGCTATCTGAAACAACAAATATTTATATGTCTATTCTCATCCGTTAAATAAAATAAATCTGGATAAACATCAAGTACATTAGTAAATAAATCATTTCTTAATGTCAAGTATAAGGGACAATAAAACAAAAATTGCACTTCACTCTCAGTTTCCTCCAAATCACACAAAGAACATCTTTGGTTCTTCCTCTGGAACTAAATGAAAACGTCCAGCTTCCAAAAGCCAAAGGCAAAGTGCCAGATCTGAACTGGGCGCACATGGACCGTCGTTTTTTTTGACAAGTTTCATGATACATATGGCTGAAGATCATCGGCATCCTTTAGTAAAATATAAGGATCATTTTGGTTTATGTAAGATATCAACTGCCTACTTACGTTTATAAACTTCAAAATAAAACTGTTTAAGCTATTGAATATTACATCTTAATTTATTCCTAAAAATTTACTAAAAATCTGCCTCCTCAGTTTTCTCCTCTATTTGTCTGGCCCAAGTACTTTATGAAATCCCAAAGAAAAATATGTTTTGTTAATCTATGGTCTGGCATATTGATAAATCTATTCCATAATGTGACCATGTCTGCGATAATGTGGTCAGATTGTGAGACAATTCATGTCAACAAATACTTTATACTATTGTAAAAATGTTTGAGCACAAGCAGCTTCTGGTTCATCATATAAATTTATCAGACAACAAAATGGCTCATTAGACATAACATGCAAAAGAGTCACCACCAGGGGTCCTCAGAACACTAATATTAACAAGATTTAAACATTTTTAATTTTTAAGTTTAATACATAGCTACTCACTATAATTTATTTCAACATGTTTGCTTTAATCTTTAATCTGCCATGTTATTGATTTTGTAAAGTTTGGGAATAAGCATTAATAAAAACAGAAAAAAAAAAAAAAAAAAAAAACTTTAAATGACACAATCATTAGTCTGTGAAAAATAAATAAATAAATAAACATATTTTCTGTATTCACCCAACCAAGACATTTTCTGCTTGGTTTTAT